CGTGCCGGAAGGAAATCACTCGCCCGCATACCGTTCCCCCTCCCCCACCAGTGCCGCTGTCCCTGGCGCCCCCACCCCTCTCTGCTCTTCCTCCTCACGGGAACTCTGCGTCTCCGCCCACAATGGCGAGGAAGGGCGGGGCCTAGGAGGGGAGCCAGAGGAGGAGGAGCTTCGCAGAGGCGAGCGGGAGGGGTAGTGCTGGCGGGATAGTGCGTCATGACGTCATCTAATAGCCTTTATATGAGGCGGCCTGGCGCCATTTCGTCCTTTTCAGCTCGGGAGCGCTCGTGCGGGCGCTGCGTCTTCTGGCTGCGAACGTTGAGCGGATCCAGGCAGTCCAGGTCCCGTCGGCTACGGCAACCCTAAATGCAGGGACTGTTATGCCCTGCGCCCTCGCTGGGCGATGAGGAAGAGGGTAAGGAGGAGTTGTGCGCTCGGTGCAGGCGCGACCTGCGGACGCCTTTGTGGGGCCTAGCTGCGGACACTAGCTCGCGTGCCCCGCTTGTGATGAAGCCTGTGTTGGTAGGGACATCTGAGACTGCTGATGAATGCCAGCACTCTGATGGCGCGTGCCGAGCTGCCCGCTGCCCGAGCAGGCCTTCAGCCTCATGCTCTCGGCAAGGCCGGTGACTGCGTCCCGCCGTGCGGGTGGTACGTCACCTGTGTAAGGGATGCTACATACTGCTTGAGCGTGTCGTGGGCGAGTGAGTTAGAAGTCTTTCCCGTAGGAAATGATGCTACGGGCGGATGCAGCGTGGCTTTTGATGGCGTCTTATGGGCAGGTAAGGATGGGGAAAAACTCCGCAGAATGGTCATTCTGTTAAGCCCGTGATGTTTTAAGAGTAGTGGACAGAAGGGATTTCTGAATTTATGTTCTGAGGCTTTAGTATTCCAGGCATTGGCAGTCAGCTTCGCTGCAATTCTATTCATTATCATTCCTTTGTTTTCACAGTTGAGAAGAGCTGCTGAGGTGAGTTGCTGAAATTCCCTCCTAAAAGTCACAAAGTGTGCTACAATGATGACTATTTATTTGCTACTCTTGACTGCCAGAATGACGAGAGTACTTACCACCATTATCTTGACTGAGGCACCCAATGCATTGATTTGGGGAAGTTGAGATTGAAACTAAGTTTACATGAAGCTGTTTCTTCCCAGGTGCTAAAGAGAAAGCCTCGTTCCAGACAGGGGCACACGTAAGAAACATTTTTATAGTCTATATTCACTTAATAATTTTCATTTGTTTTCAAAGGAGTAGAAAGTAGCAAAAACAATGTTAGTGCTTGTATACGTTAAAGTTCCCCCCCCTTTTTTTTGAGTTGGAATCTCTTGCCCAGACTAGAGTGCAGTGGCCGCTGCCGGCCACTGCAGCCTCTACCTGCTGGGCTCCAGCGATCCGTCCGCCTCAGTCTACCAAGTAGCTGGAGCTACAGACACGCGCTACCATGCCCAGCTAATTTTTTTGATTCATTGTAGAGATGAGGTCTCAACAAGTTGCCCAGGCGGGTCTCAAACCCGCGAGCTCAGGCAATCCACTCACCTCAGCCTCCCAAGGCACGGGATTACAGGCTGAGCCACCGAACCTGGCTAGTTCTCCCCCTTTTAAAGTGAGCTTTTGACACTTAAGTTACTTATTTGTAGAAATGAGTAAACAGATACTATGATGGTTGCATGGTTCAGCAGATTGAATTCTGAAGAGACTCACCATATGTCTGATGTATCTGGAATGGTTGTTCACTAATAGCATAAGCTGTGTAACACTAGTGTAGCTTTAAGATGTACTTCTCAGCTGGGCAACTTGACGAGACCACATCTCTACAGTAAATCTAAAATTAGCCAGGTGTGGTAGCTCGCCTGTAGATGGCAGCTACTTGGAAGGCTGAGGAGGAAAGTTCACTGGAGCCCAGCAGGTTGACGCTTGGATGGCCGTTAGCATGCCACTGCATTCCACTCTGGGCGACAGTGAGGCTGACTGAAAAGAAAATGTACTTTTCACTTATTTTGCAGGCACCAGTCGGAAAGCAAAGTTGAAATGGTGAGTAAAATTGTAATCCAAGTAACATAGGTAACTGGACAAACTACCTGAGGTCCAAATGGCCTTTAGGGTTGCATTATTAGTGCATAGTAGACATTCCTGATTGCTGAAGGTGTTCACTTAATGCCAGATCCTTGTCCTATTAACTGTAAATGCAGCCTGGATGATGATAAGCAAATACTGACCGAACATGAAGGTCTTAATTAGCTCTAACTGACTGAAGGCATTTGTTACTTTTGGAGTAGGGGAAATCTGTGACATCTCTAAAACCACTTTAATTTTTTTAGGTGGATTCTGGCTTTTTTGGACCAGTTTTATTTTAGTAAGTATTAATGAACATAACAATAGATTTAGCCAAGATTAAGTGATATGCTTACTGCTGAGCTACTGGCTGTTTTTACTTATTTGCTTATATTTGATGAATGCTAAGTGCACTTTGCACATGCTCTTAGTGGGTTTTTTGTAATGATGTTGATCAAATGTCTGACCTGAAATGAGCATGTGGTCAAATGCAACACTGAAGAACCGTGTGACAAACTGGAATAAGAGTTTTATGGTGATTAGCATTTTTTTTTTTTTTTTGAGTTGGAGTCTCACTGTCGCCCAGACTGGAGTACAGTGGCCGCTCCCGACCACCGCAGCCTCGACCTGCTGGGCTCCGCCTTAGCCTTCCGAGTAGCCGGAATTACAGGTATGCGCTACCATGCCCAGTTGATTTTTTTGATTTATTGTAGAGATGAGGTCTTGCTGCCCAGGCGGGTCTCAAACCCGCGGACTCCCAAAGGCGCGGGATTACAGGCTGAGCCACCGAGCCGGCTCTGGTGATTAGCATTCTAATGAAGGTTCTCATATCTCTTTCAGCTACTGGTAACGTGTTTTTATAAATGCGGAAGGCTTGCTTAGGTAAGGACTTGAAGACAGTTCCTGTCATCTTAAGCATATATTTCTGGAGTGTTGTGTTAAAAACAATAAAATGGGGCATATTAAAATATTACATTAAACAGTTAAAGGTATTAAATAAGACTTTAATGGTTTTGTATACTGTTTACATAAGTACTTAATTTAGGAAATGGTATCTAAAATACTTTTCTTTAGTTGCAGATTTTGGAGACTTTATAAAGGTATGTATTTTATAAATAATACAAGTTCATTGAGCAAGATGCTGTTAGTGATGATTATAAAGCTAAAACAGATGGGAATCTCTCTGAAAGAGGATGAAGACTAATTTTAAACTGAAACAGTGGTTTGAAAATACTTTACAAATCTACTTATCAGATCTTTTGTTAAATTAGACTACGTTTTTGCAGGTTTGAGGAGAGCTGGCTTCATGGAGCTACAGTTCATGGAGCAGGTGTTAATGCAAAGGTATCGTGCAGTAGTAATTACTGGTTTTTTTTTTAATGGTCTAAGCCGATACGATGATGATAACATAGTTCAGCAGACTAACACTGATGAGCAGTAGTAAGTCTTTCGCTCCTATCTGATGTATCTGGCTGATGTTCCAAATCATAGCCTCTTAAAGTAAATTTGAGCCATTTGTCCATAGGGATTTGGGTTATTATAATTTATATGTGAGTATCTTATCCTGAATCGTTTTAAAATTGCAGGACTAAATTTACATTTGAAGAAGTACAAGTGACAAGCTGTTTTAAAATTACAATGTGCCTGAAAAGGAAAAAATTGAAGTAAGTCACTTTTTGGTGCATTTGGTAACTTGGAATGTAACCAGTGATGTGATGATTCTGCCAAATGAAATAGAATGATATCACATGTAAAACCGTTCCATTTTGATTCTGAGGTTACTATACCAACAAGAGTCACACAAAATGGTTTTGCCTTGGTTAATACATAGTTTTTGCTTTTAGGACTCAGTGACCACAGCAAGCAAGCATAGCATGCAGCTTACCCATTGAAAGGTGAGGGTTGAAAATACCAGGACTATTATCATCAGTTCAGGATACATGATGATCTCACCTCATCTTGAACTCTCTCACTGATGACTTGATGACATTAAAAGATCTGATATGCTGCATTCCCCAAGTACTACTTAAATTGAAATTTAGCTTAAGCTGATTGGTCTTTTCTTTGAGACAGGGTCTCCTGGAATATAGTGGTGTGATTACAGCCCACTGCAGCCTTGGACACCTGGAACTAGAGGTGTGAGCCACTGTTCCTGGCCTCAAAGTGGTCTTTGCAGGTAATTTGGATCCTTAGCCTGGAGGAGCCTACTGAAGATTATTGCCCATACAGGTCTTCAGCTCCAGGCCTCAAGCTGTTCTCCCATCACAGCCTCCCAAAAGTGCTGGAATTTATAGGCATGAGCCACACAACCCAGCCTCATTCAGCTTTAATAAATTTGTACAAGCAATCTGGAAGAGTGTTTATTTCAAGTAGGTTTGGGGGAAGGGAGGAAAGTCAGTTCAAGTGAAGGGGATGTACATATTAATGTTTCCAGCCATTCAAGTGGAACTAAGTATTCCTAGGATGCTGTTACTACGTCATTTGCATCATTAACAGTGCAGCCAGTTAGATTTTATGGATATTTACAGGATGCCTCATGTCATAAAGCACCATTTGTAAAAAGATAGACATAGTGATTCTTACCTCAGAAATGGCATTTGTGGCAATAAAAATGAAATCTGTTGAAGGATGAGGCCCCCCCCCCCCTTTTTTAAGTTGGAGTCTCACTCCATTGCCCAGATGGGAGGGCAGTGGCACGCTCCCAGCCACCACAGCCTCGACCTGCACCGGCGGTCCTTCTGTCTCACGCTTCCAAGTAGCTGGAACTACAAGTGCAAGTGTGAGAATTGTTCATATCGGTAAGCCTGTGGCCTCAGCTCCAAAAGTAATGGGGACAACTTCAAGATGTGTCTTTGGGGCGGGTCCCTGGAGACTGCTGAGTCTCCCAAGTTCAAGGAAGGCTGTGGAGGTGGGCATCTCCTTGGGGTACCTGTGGTGTCTTCTGGAGCAGGTCCAGAGCAGGCAACTCTGGACCCTTTCAGTTCTCTGCACTCTGGGAAAGTTCCAGTTTGGCCAGTTTCAGGGAGGAAGCCCATGGGATGGGAAGGATTTCTCAGGGGAACTCCTGGCTGGCTCAGGAGACCTCCCCACAGGAAGGCCAGGAAGTGGGCATCCAAGACACTGCTTGCTTCGGAGTTAGAGGCATCTGCATCTGACTCCAAGCTGGACATGCCTTGGGGAATTGCTGTCAGGTGCCACCAACCTGAAAGCCACCTGAAAAGTCATAGAACTTAAGGCTGACTTCACAGATGAGCTGCTGAGCCTATGCTCCGCAGGTAACCTCTGGGGAGATGGAGCCATTGAAGTCCACAATAAGGTTAAGCATGATTGGGAAGATGGAACAGGAAAGAAAAAGAACACTACATAACCGTACTGATGGGTTGCTGACAAGTGTTAAGATGTTGAAAGTTGGTGTAAGGGACAAAATTGGTTATTCCAAAGTGAAATCTCCCAAAGATGGCCAAAGGAAAGCCAAGACTAGTGGCTGAAAATTCAAGGTGGTTTATAGTTTGAATAAACAGCAACGCTACTATGATTGTAGCTATCTGGCAGTACATTTTGATTCAGGTTATGTGCTTGTCAGGTTAATGCTAAAACTAGGAAGGGTAGCTGGATTCCTGAAGAACCTTCCCTATCTCAGTCATGGCAGTAGGACTGGAGGCTTATTTGCAGATTCCTGTTTGTTTCCTAGTTTAGGATTGGAGTGGTTAGCATTGTTGACAGATTTCTCTAGATTTACCTGGTTTTTGTTTTTAGTCAAAGCCTCACTTTGTTGAGGCTGGAATGCAGTGCAGCCTCGACCTCACTCAGGTTTCCAAGTAGCTAGAACTCCAGCTGTGCACCACCGACTGGCTAGTTTTTTTTTTTTTTTTTTTTTTGAGTTGGAGTCTCGGGTGCAGTGGCATGCTGGGCTCCAGTGACCTTTTTGCTCGGCCTTCCAAGTAGCTGGAACTACAGGCATGCACTACCATGCCTGGCTAATTTTTGATTTATTGTAGAGATGGGGTCTCGCCAGGTTGCCTGGGTGGGTCTCGAACCCGTGGGCTCAGGCAGTCCACCCACCTCGGCCTCCCAAAGTGCTGGGATTACAGGCTGAGCCACTGAGCCTGGCCTTTTTTTTTTTTTTTTTTTTTTAATTTTGGGGTATGATTCAGGGTTAGGTATACAAATATTCATTGTGCAGGTACCCTTGTTGATGAGGTGTGCCCCCCTCCAGACAGATCTCAACTACTGTCAATCCCATCTCGTGCCCCCCCCCCCAGTTTTCTGCTATTGTCAATCCTTTTGTTGTAGTATTGCAGTAGTTGTTCAAGGTCCACTTTTGAGTGAGAACATGTGATACTCAGATCTTTGTTTCTGAGAAAGATCACTCAGTATTATAAACTAATTCTATCCAGGATGCTGCAAAATTCATGACTTTGTTCTTTATGGCTGCATAATATTCCATTGTGTATATGTACCACATTTTTTTTTTTTTAATTATCCAGTCATCTTCTGATGGGCAGCACGGTTGGTTCCATGTTCTTATTGTTGTGACAGACAAGGGTTCATCAAATTGTCCAGGCTGGTCTCGAACCCATGGGCATAGGCAATCCTCTCTCCACCACCTCCCAAAGTGCTGGGATTACAGGTGTGAGGTTACAGGTGTGCCCCACCAGCAACCTTTTTCATTTGTTTTTTTCTTTTGAGTTGGAGTCTCACTCTGTCCCCCAGGCAGGAGTGGAGTGGCACATTCATGGCCACCGCAGCCTCGACCTGCTGGGCTCAGGCAATCTTTTCACCTCAGCCTTCCAAATAGCTGGAACTACTACAGGTGTGCACCACCACACCCGGCTAATTTTTTGCTTTATTGTAGAGATGAGGTCTCACCAATTTGCTCAAGCTGATCTTGAAACTGTGGGCTCAGGTAATCCTCTAACATCAACTTCCCAAAATGCTGGGATTATAGGCATGTGCCACCATGCCCAGCCAGCAACGTTTTCAAAGTGTATTAGAGAAAGAAGGGAGAAAAGAAAGACGTGCCAGAGCTGCTGTGGGTAAAAGAAACCACATCTTTTGCTCTTCACAATAGACCTGACATATCTTCACAATGACTGTGCTAAAGAGGGTGGAGCTCAAGTAACTCCACTCTGGAGATTGACACTTTTGGACTCCTGAGGGAAGAGACAAGGGGTTGAGATTTTTTCTGACCACATTGTCTTTTGCAGGAGACCTGCCAGATGTTTCCAATTCTTAGCTAAAAGTGAGCTTTATTATTGTTTCTATGGCTTTGGTGAGCTAAGGAGATAGTATTTGGCCTTCTGCCTTCGACAGGAAACCTGAAAATTTCTTAGTGATTATTAATGCTAAACCATGAGTTGAAAGGTTGGGCTACCTTATTCTTACATCTAATAAAGTTTTATTTTAATTTGCCAAGGGGGTGAAGAGGGTTGCCAGCTTGGCCTGCAGTAAAATATAATTTTAAAAATATCTAAATGCTTTCTAAAACATATCTTTGGGAAATTTATTTTGAGATTTTTAATTTAAGAATCTCACTCTGTCACCCAGGCTGGAGTACAGTGGCATGCTCACAACCACCACAGGCTTGACCTGCTAAGCTCAGGTGATCCTTCTGCCTCAGCCTTCCAAGTAGCTGGGACCACTGGTGTGTGCCACAAACCTGGCTAATTTTTTTGATTTATTGTAGAGACAAAGTCTAGCCAAGTTGCCCAGGTTGATCTCAAACCTCTGGGCTCGGGCAGTCCTCACCTCTGCCTTCCAAAGTGCTGGGATTACAGGTGTGAGCCACTGCACCTGGCTATTTTTATTTTCTTGAGTTGGAGTCTCACTCTGTCACCCAGGCTGGAGTGCAGTGGCATGCTCATGACCATAGCATCCTCAATCTACTGGGCTCAGGTGATCCTTCCACCTTAGCCTTCCAAGTAGCTGTAACTACAGGAATGTGCCACCATGCCAAGCTAACTATTTATTGTAGAGACGAGGTCTCACCATGTTGCTCAGGCTGGTCTCGAAACCCTGAACTCAGGCAGTCTTCTCACCTCTGCCTCCCAAAGTGCTGGGATTACAGGTGTGAGCAGGGAAATTTACTTATCTGTTACCTGTGGTAGCTACCCTGACTCAAAAATATCTCCTTTCAGGAATAATATGATCTGAATGAGAGTGAAATTAGGTGAATTCATGGCTGGTTGAATTATTGGTTTTCTGAAGTTTCTCATCTCTACAGCATTAATAGGGGAGGAAAAGGAGGTAGCTGGAACCACAGGTATACACAACCATACCTAGCCAATTTTTTAATTTATTGTAGAGATGAGGTCTCACCAAGTTGCCCAGGCTGGTCTTAAACCCCTGGGCTCAGGCAATCCTCTTTCCTCGGCCTAGAATTACAGGCATAAACCACCATGCCCAACCCTTTTCACCTTATTTCTATTATTATTTTTTTTTTTTAGTCAGAGTCTCACTCTGACTCCCAGGCTGGAGTGCAGTGGCATGCTCACAGCCACCACAGCCTCAACCTGCTGGTCTCAGGCAATCCTTCTGCCTCAGTTTTTCAGGTAGCTGGAGCTACAGGCGTGTGTCACGCCTGGCTAATTTTTTGATTTATTGTGAAGACGAGGTCTTGCCATTTTGTCCAAGTTGGTCTCGAATCCCTGAGAGCTCAGGCAATCCTCTTGCCTCCACCTCCCAAAGTGCTGGAATTACAGGCATGAGCCACCTGTGCCCAGCTGTTAATTTTAAGTAGCCTATTGTCTCATTTTAAAACCCGAAAGAAAGGTTGTTTGCTAAGGATTGAGCTGTCATTGGCAACAAGCTGCCAACATCTGAGGGAGTACTGAGGCAGCCTAGTTGGGTAGGTTTTCAGGGCCTTTCCTCTGCAGTTATTCAGTTATTCTCAATTATTATTATTGTTGTTATTTTGGGGGTTGGAGTTTCACTCTGTCACCCAGGCTGGAATGCAGTGGCACACTCACGGCCACCACAGCCTAGACCTGCTGGGCTCAGGCGATCCTTCCACTTCAGCCTTCCAAGTAGATGGAACTACAGGCGTGCACTACCATGCTCGGCTAATTTTTTGGTTTATTGTAGAGAAGCCTCGCCAAGTTGCCCAGGTTGGTCTTGAACCCGCAGCCTCCCAAAGTGCTGGGATTACAGGTTTGCATGACTGCGCCCTGCAATTATTATTATTTTGAAAATCCCTGCCCCCTATTTCTTCTTTTTTCATTTTGGGAATCCAATTAGATTCAGTCTTTCTTACTCCATCCTTTAAATCTTCCAAACTTTTTTTTTGAGTCAGTCTTACTCTGCCACCCAAGCTGGAGTGCAGTGGCACGATCATGGCTCACCATAGCCTTAAACTCCTGGGCTCAAGCAGTCCTCCCTCCTCAGCCTCACAAAGTACTAGGATTACAGGCATGAACCACCATGCCTGGCCCAAACTCTTTTTTGTATTTTTCAAGCCTGTCTCTCTGAACTGTCAAGTAATTCCTCAGGTTTACCTTTCAGTTCACTAATTTTCCTTTTTTTTTTTTTGAGTTGGAGTCTCACTCTGACGCCCAGACTGGAGTGCAGTGGCCGCTCCCGGCCACCGCAGCCTCGATCTGCTGGGCTCCGGCAATCCTTCCGAGTAGCTGGAACTATAGGTGCGTGCTACCATGCCCGGCTAATTTTTGATTTATTGTAGAGATGAGGTCTTGCCAAATTGCCCAGGCAGGTTTCAAACCCATAGGCTCAGGCAATCCACTCACCTCGGCCTCCCAAAGCGCGGAATTACAGGCTGAGCCACCGAGCCTGGCCAATTCACTAATTTTCTAATCAATTATGTCTTTTTCCTTCAAAAAAATTTTTTTTTTAACGAAGAAAGGTAGATTTAAGGAAAGACACTGTGAAGGGCACAACAGGCAGGAAGACAGCAAGAGTGTATGCTGTCTGCTGCCAAGACTCTTAAATAAAGAGAAGTTTTGGTTCACAACAAAGTGGAGAGGAAGATACAGAGATATCCCATATATCTTCTGCCCCCCACATATACTATCCTGTAAAATCACGATAGCTGTCATCTTTCAATTGAATTTTAAGCTTGATTGTATATATCATTTCTGTAAGTTTGAGTTTGCTCTTTGGCACCACCTCCAAATCTACCTGGTCATTTTTCTTCAACTTTTGATTCCCCCTTCTATTTCTACAAATATCATACTTTGTTTATAGTCAGAGTCTAACACTTCCAAACACAAAATCTTTGTAAATTTGGTTCTGTTTCTTGTTTCTGCTGGTAATGGTTCATAGTAACTAGTTCCTTTATATGTTTTTTGTTTTTTTAAAAAATGGCAATTAAGGCTGGGTGTGGTGGCTCACACCTGTAATCCCAGCACTTTGGGAGGCTGAGGGGAGAGAACTGCCTGAGCCCAGAGGTTCAAAATGATCCTGGGTAACATGGCAAGGCCCGCCTCTACAGTATATATATAAAATTAGCCAGGCATGGTGGCATGTGCCTGTAGTCCCAGTTACTTGAGAGGCTGAAGCATAAGGATTGCCTGGGCCCATCTGGTGGAGGCTGTGGTAGCCATGAGCATGCCACTGCACTCTAGCCTGGGTGACAGAGTAAGACTCCAACTAAGAAATGAAATAAATGGCAATAATATGTTCATATGAACCTTATCTTCTGAAGTCATCTGAGGATTTTTTTTTTAGTTGTGGTCTCACTCTGTTGCCCAGGATGGAGTGTAGTGGCATGATAATGGCACACCACAGTCTCAACCTCATGGGCTCAGGTGACTCCCCCTCACCTCAGCATCCTGAGTAGCTAGGACTGCAGGCACACGCTAACATGCCTAGCTAATTTAAAACAAATTTTTTTTTCTTTAAGAGTCTCACTCTGTTATCCAGGCTGGAGGACTGTGGCACGCTCCCGACTACCACAGCCTCAACCTGCTGGGCTCCGGCAACCCTTCCATCTCAGCCTTCCAAGTAGCTGGAACTACAGGCACGCACTACCACACACGGCTAATTTTTGATTTATTGTAGAGATGAGCTGCCCAGGTGGGTCTCGAACCCGTGGGCTCTGGCAATCCTCTTGCCTTGGCCTCCCAAAATGCTGGGATGACAGGCTGAGCCACCAAGTGCAGCCTTAAAAATTTTCTTGTGGAGGCAAAATTTTGCTATGTTGCCCAGGCTGGTCTTGACCTCCTGGGCACAAGCAGTCCTCCTGCCTCAGTCTCCCAAAGTGCTAGGATTAGAGGCATGAGCCACTGTACCTGGCCTGGGGTTATTTTAAAATGTCTAGGGGGTTGGCATTGGAAGTTGAGGGAAACTTCCAGGGGAGAGAGGGGCATACCTCATCAACAAGGGTACCTGAATGATCAATGTTTATATACCTAACCCTGAATTGTACCCTACATCATTAAAATAAAAATTCTAAAAATAATAAAATGCCTGTAATTCCGGCTTCTCAGAAGGCTGAGGCGGATCGCTGGAGCCCAGCAGGCAAGGCTGTGGTGGCCGGGAGCGGCCACTGCACTCCAGCCTGGGTGACCGAGTGAGACTCCAACTCAGAAAAAAAATAAATAAATAAATAATAATAATAATAAATGTTTAAGAAAAAAAAACTTCTTCGCCCAGGCTGGCGTACAGTGGCACGTTTACGGATAGCTCAGGCTATCCTTCTGTTCAGCCTTCCAAGTCGCTGGAACTACAGGCATGTGCCACTACGCCCAGCTAATTTTTTTCTCGCCACGCTGCCCAAGCTGGTCTCAAACCCGTGTGCTCAGACAATCCTCTCACCTTGGCCTCCCAAAGTGCTGGGATTGTAGGTGTGAGTCACTGCACCAGCCGTCTCTGGCTTTTGATTATCTTCTGTAACTCTCATTTCCAGGATAGAAAGACAGTATTTGGTGAAAATTAGGCTATACACGGCAGATAATTTATCATACATAGAAATCAGCCCAGGTGCGGTGGCTCAAACCTGCAATCCCAGCACTTGGAAGATGGAGGCAGGAGACCCGCCTGGGTCACAGCAAGACCGTGTCTCTACCAAAAATCACAAATTAGCCAGGCATTAGGGTGCGGGTCTTTAGTCCCAGCTACACAGGAGGCTGAGGTGGAAGGACAGCCTGAGCCCAGGAGGTTGAGGCTGCAGTGCACTCCAGCCTGGGTGACAGAGTGAGACCCTGACTCGAAAACAAATAAAAAAGGGCATCTCTAGAAATTCTCTCCACTGAGAAAGGACAGGAAAAGTTGGATATCATGAGAACTCTGCCGGCAAGGACTTTCTGGCTCCAGAGTACATCCACAAATGAGAGATTACAGAAAAGAGCAAATTCAGGGCAACACTCCACATAACGGTGAACCAGCTGTTTGCAGTAAGGGACACTCATACTCTTTATGGCCTATTAAGCATCACAAATTAGACCTGAAAGTGAAGCTTATCTCATTTGCGACAGAAAAATAGTATAGTATCATATTGCTTAGAGAAAGTAGAGCAGAATATAAAACTGATATTTAGTGCTTATAAATTATACATTGCCAGGCATGGTGGTACATGCCTAGTCCCAGCCACTCAGGAGGCCGAGGTGAGAGGATTGCTTGAGTCCAGGAGCTTGAGACTAGCCTGGGCAACATAACAATATACATATATAAATCAAAGACATCAAGGCAAACTAAAGATCAAGTAGAAGAGACCAAAATCAATTAAGACCTTTTCCCATCTTATATTTATTAGTTTATTATAGTTTTTATTTATATCATTAGAACCTATAAGAAAATCACAGCGAGCTTTAGTGGTCACTTTTTTTTTTAATGGAGGGAAACATGATTATCTTGAATAGAGTGGTACCTTAGTGGTCACTTTGTATACATTTGAGACTGGTCTAAGATCAATTAGTATTTTCAGTTACTTATAATTGAGACAAAATGTCATTCAAGGATTATCTTTTTTTTTTTTTTTGAGTTGGAGTCTTACTCTGTCGCACAGGTTGAGGTGCAGTGGCATGCTCCCGGCCACCACAGCCTTGACACGCTGAGCTCAGGTGATTCTTCCACCTCAACCTACCAAGTAGCTGGAACTACAGGCACACACTACCATGCCTGGCTAATTTTTTGATTTATTGTAGAAACAAGGTCTCGCCAAGTTGCCCAAGCTAGTCTTGAACCACTGGACTCAGGCAATCCTCTCGCCTCAGCCTCCCAAAGTGCTGGGATTACAGGCTTGAGCCACCAACACTATTTTGACAGCTGACATGTCATTATGAAGCTTTATTTATAGGACTCTGTTGATAAGGCTGAACTGAGCCCTCCATCAACTCACCTGTCTATTGAGAAAAGCATTTTCCCACATTTCACACGATTTGACTGCCTCTGTTATAATCTACTCTGAGTACGAAAAATGTGATAAGACACCAAGCCACTACATTACTCAAACAAAGAGTCATCTTTTACACCTCTCCAAGTACAGAGGAACTACTTCTTTTTTTTTTTTTTTTTGAGTTGGAGTCTCACTCTGTCACCCAGACTACAGTG